AAGAAATTACCAGGGCCGACGCCATCTACCTCATCTTCCAGGCTCTATTCTCGCCCCTGCAGTTCTTCTCCACCGCCGCCACCATCCTATCCGAGGCCATGGCCGGCAACTTCACCACCCTCCACGCAGACCTCGCCCTCCCCACATCCGCGAGCTCCTGCACTCCAACCAATCCCCAGTCCTACACCTGGGCCTCGGAAGCCATGCCCGCCATCGCCTGCGGCGACGCCGTCCCCCAAGCCAACCTAACCACCCCGGAGTTCTTGGCGTACCTGAACAAGCAGAAGTCCATAGCCGGCGACTTCGGCACGTACTGGGCGCGCGTCCGCCTCAACTGCAAGGGCTGGCGCGTGCGCCCCGCATACCGGTTCCCAGGCCCGTTTACAACGCCAGAAGCGGACCCGGCCGGCGGCGGCGTCGAGGGCAGGCCCGCCGCGCCCCTGCTTTTCTTATCTAGCTTGTACGATCCGGGGACGCCGCGCGCGAACGCGGTCGCGATGGCCAAGGAACATGCTGGCGCCGCGGTGCTGGTGCAGGATAATGCGGGTCATGGCACGCAGGCGGTGCCTGGGAAGTGTAGGGATGGGTTTTTGAAGAGGTACTTCGAGACCGGCGAGGTGCCGCCTGATGGGACTGTGTGCGAGGCTGATTGTAGGCCGTTTGAGGATTGTCCGCAGATGGCGCGGAGGAAACGTGGGTTATATGGTGGGGGTGTCCTGGGGCGGAGGAGGGGCCCGTTGGGGGTGGTGTAGTTTAGCTGGGCTGATAATTACATGTAGGTAATTGGGTAGGTAGATTAAATTTCTTAAAGTCCGGGGTTTTCAAGTAGAATTCTATGTTTTCTTAACTAGGGGACTACAATACTCCCTAGTGATGATTATAGTATACCTAGTTAATAAGGCTTTGCTAAGTGAAACTGGATGGCCTCTGTGATGTTAGCTAAACAAGGCAAGCATTGCGGCTTATTACTAGCCGATGATTATGGGAAATAAGTGGCAAAATATCATACTAAGCACTATATCAAAGTATATGTGAAGTAGTCAGTCTACTGATGAAAGGTAGAATACGTGAAGGAAAAAATTCACATCTTATTAGAGTCCTGTCGATCCACAATAGTTCAAGTAGCACCTCCCTCCTAAGTATCCAAATTGGATACAACCTGTTAGAGGTTTAACCAACTCGGGTTACCTGAGACAAGGTACATATGTATACAGAAAGGTTTCTCGTATTTATAACAATAAAATAGAGAATTCGCCACGAAACAGGGAGCGGAGACATAGATTTTGATGTGTAGGGTTAGCATAAGTAGAATCAAGGCGCAATGATGACATCTAGAAGAGCTTCTAAGACAGTCCCCACGAAACATTCATCTCTTACTGCATCTTGCGCTTGAGAACCCCGCTTGAGGGCGTTGGTCCACCAGGGTCCGAGTCGACCTCCATCAGATTGCTGCTGATGGCCTGGTCCCACTGGTGCAACAGACCCAGCGACTCTTCGCACTCCAAGAGGACGATAGCATCCTCGCCTCGGTACTTGCCGACAGTGTCGTTGACCGGGTTGTAGTACTCGACTTTGCCCTCGTTGAGGCGCAAGATGAGGAGCAAGCAGCAGACCGATCGCGCAAATCCTTGGTCGAGTGTCCAGGCATCTAGGAACCGAAACGGAGGGTTGACGACTCCGGCCTCCGCCGTCGATACGATGTGCTCGTTCTCCTCGTACGGCGCCAGATTGTGGGCCCACCCTGTAAGCCTTAGTTGGTTGGCGACAGCGACTTGGGCCTGCATGTGTAGAGAGTTCTTTCTGGCCAGAAGATAGCCCCAGGCTCGTCGGATGGCGATTCTGTTCCGGTGGCTCGATTCCAAGATCAGCGTCTTCGTGTTGAGTAAGTTGTCGGAATAAGAGAATGCGACTAGGCGTGTTGAGATCAGGGGGAATAGCGCGGGGCCCTGGCCACAGGTCAGGATTCCTATAAGGCGGGCGGAGAAGGATCCCTGTTGACCGCGAACACGAATGAGGTGTACGATGTTCCAATCATTCAAGGCTATGGTGTCCTCGATAGTCTCCTGCTTTAAGGGGTATTAATAAAAGAGTTCGGGTTAGGTATGGATGGATAAGGCTTGCCTCGTCGACGACGTCCGTCATGACTATGTTGCCGTTCGCATCAACGAGTTGGCTACCAATGAGGTCGCCTTGAGCAGACATGATTACGAGGTAGCCTGACCCTTTGAGTTCGCAGATTAACGAGTTGGTGAAAAATCACGACACCTTGTTGTCAAGTTGGATATGTTCTTGTCAGACAGCGATGATGACTTGACAGTAGAAGAAGTGTTTGTCTGTGGCACTCCCTCGTCGTGTTTGTTGAAAAAAGAAGGATGAAAGGGAAATTTGCGTGCCAGGTTAATGTAGAATAATATGGGGGGCTTGGGGAGGCGCCATGGGGTCTTACCAAACCGAGGGTCATCGTCGATGTGCTTGGAAGAATCCGGCTTTGGTGCCGATGAACATGACATTTCATGTAATCAATATTCGTAACGTCCTCAAGACAGGAACGAATAGGAGTCACAATGATATAAGCAATCTCCTGGACAGGGGACTGTCGATGAGATCTTGTATCTGGGTCAGGAGAATAGTGTACTATAGGTGCAGACCCTCCACGAAGAAAAGAGATATACACGCAGCACAGCTCAATTCCATATTATCAACATCGAAAGCAACTAATTCTACTTCGATTTAGGCACATCAGACTACTGGCTCTAACAATAGAAGTGGGTGGTTGAGTACAGGATAACCTAGAGGGAGACGGTTCTGAAGAAAGGGCAAGTGGGATGAGCTGACTGATATCTCACAGAGAAGAGGAAAGAGATTATTATTATTTTCATCATCATGCTTAAATATACGGGGTTCTAGTAGAACAACGAAGTCTAGTTAATACGGAAGGGAGGGGGGGAAATATAGTTGTATATGATAGACACTGTAGCCTAGACCATGCGAATGAGGCTCTGGGTCCTAGTATATGAGGTATACTGTTGCCGGTATGATGAAGGATAGTCCAAGCCCCTTAAAAGTCTCATAATGCAGGTTGAGGAGGCCTACATTACAAAAGGGGTTCAAAATATAGTAAGTACTATGCTAATTAAACGCTTCATATAATTTTAAAGGAAGGTAGGGGCAATTACTATATAATCATATGTATTAATCACAGCATTAGTAAAATCAATACCACTGCTTACATTACCCACTCCCATTCTGGGGTCCTTCTCATGAGCGCTCAACATAAGCTCTGGGATCAGATCCTTTCGAGGTTCCTTTCCAAGCGATGGCTTACTTTTAGATATTTATCCTCAAATGACGTAACAAATTGCATATAAGTACCGGTATAGCTACCCCTAGCTTATGGTAGTACGATGTATTGAGATAGGCGTTCGGAAAAGCTGGTTACCTAGTTTAGAGAGGTTACCTTTGTAAATCCAATGGAGCTTCGATATGAGAATTCAATTTATAATCTTCCTATGACCGCGACATAGCGCACATATGAAGTTTTATGTCAGGACTGGACATCTTCTGAGGTTGACGGATTTATTAACGACTATACTGAACTTTCTGGTATGTCTCCACATTTATAGTCGCGTGGTCTAATGGTTATGATTTCTCGTTCACATTGATGTGTTCAAAGTCCCGAGAAGGTTCCGTGTTCGATCCACGGCGTGACTAAATTTTTCTTCTTTTTGCCCACTTGGCGCGGCGAGTTGGATGCGTCGAATGGCTTATATGCTTGTCGAGTTGAAAGCAGCGGGGGTGGTTTAGAATCGGGTGGTATTCCACCAGAAGCTAGATAATTAATGCATGGAGAGTGTTAGGTTGAAGCCGCCTTTACTATTGATATATTGTGGATAAAAGACTGTGAATAGATGGTTATCATTTTGATACTGAAAGTGTTACACTAGATAATATTGGTAAGCGTAATTGTGTGACCTGAGCTTGACGAAACAACATGACATATACTTAGAGACGCAGGTTTCTTCAACTATATTCCTTTGAAACAGCTTCACACTCAAAGCAGAAGGACGGCCAAAAGAATAGACCCGTTGTTAGTCATGAATATTCGATTGTTCGTAATACTATGCGAACAGAGCATACTGTCCATAGGTCTGGGCATCGGTGGCTCGTGCCTAAAAGGTGGCATTTCCTACTTTAGGCAGCCATCTGTTCGTTCAAATGAATATGATTTGTTTATAATACACGAGTAGTTCAAGTTAAAGCCGTACTAAAAAAAAACTCTTCACTTCCCTATGTATGAAACCAGAGACCAAATCATCATTTCGTGTCTTCCTTTAGTGTTTGAAGATGGTGATGTATAATATTCGGTATCTTACTGCCATCTACTAGCATTGATGGGAAACTTGAAAGTCGTCAATAGGTAACATACTTTGATCATGGATTCTCTTTTCTCGTGGCTACCTCCTGTCGGTAGACCTACATACATCCATGGATGTACCCATGTAGATAGTTATCGCCAATCGATTCATTATTATTGGGCAGCGGGCTGAAACTAGAATGGTATAAGATTGGCAAACACGACGATCCACAACTTGCTTATGTGAACTTTATTACCGTTTGCATATCGAGACATTAGCTGTATTGTACTAATCGGGTAATCGGGAGGCAGCTGAGGTAGAATCAGGGCGTCTCATTGGGGGCCGTTCAGCCATGTGGAGCGGCTGTGTTCGGGAAGGTGCAGGCAGGCAGGCATCCCCGATATAATTTTCACGGTTGCCCGTGCCAGGTACGCGACAAGGCTTTCCGCCACTTCACACGTCGTTGCTGCCGTCATCCATGGTTGCCCAAGGCAGAAAACAAGGTACGTGTAGGTAGCAATCACAGCAATCATACGTACCTACCTACCTAATACTCTTCCCTAATAATTATCGATAACAGCTATTGTAAACATCACATCAACAAGTCAAGTGGCCGAATGGTCAACAACGACACCCAGCCTGCCAGCCGTACTAGAGAAATGGTTAACTCGTCGGCCTCCTATTGAAAAGTCAATAAGCCGAAGATTCCCGGTTCGAGTCCGGGGTGCGGTGTTTTTTTTTTTTTTATTTTTATTTTTATTTTTTTTTCATGTTTCTGTTCACTCTTTTCTTGTTCCATCAGCCTTCTCGATACATTTCCCCCTTATTTAACTCATTCTTATTTCCTTCTACAACGAATAAAACGTGTAGATCTTTAATATCACGACAGGCAATACGATCTAATGAACTTCTAATAGTAGATAGAGGTATATGAACAAGTACACTAAAGAACACCTATCGATGGAAAACAATATGCTAACTACAATTAAAGTGTTTCGAAGAAAGCCAGAATCTCCCTAATCACCACCTCTGGCTGCTCTTGTTGCACCCAATGTCCCGCACCATCCATAAACTTCGCGCCCCTATAGCAGCCTTCCTTAACAGATCTCGGGTCTTCATACCCTTCTAGTGCTCCAGGCTGCTGGTAGTTACCCCAGTCCCGTTTCCCACTGATAAACGCACAGGGCACTTCGATCCTGCGTCCCGCGAACAACAGCATATCGCGCGCAGACTGCGGCGTCGACGCCGTCTGCGCTCTGTACCAGTTTAGTGCGCCTTGGAACCCGTTCCGCCGCCACTCGTCGCAGTACACCTTGAGGTCTTCCCTCGAGAGCCACCGCTCCGTCTTCGACGCATCCTCGTCCACCATGTTGGCCGCCACCGTCTCGGGCATCGAGTGCTCCGCCCGCATGATGTAGTACTCCGGCATGCCCGCCAGTTCCCGCGCCCCCCACTTCTCTAGGGGCCGCGGGTCATTCTTCTCCCAGTCCGCGGACTTGAGGTGGAAGTATCCCCGCAGGAACGCCTCGAGGCCCTGCGCCGGGTTCTCCCAGTCGCGCGCCGCCCGCGCGCTGGAGTTGTACCACTTGTAATGCTTCCTCGGCGGATCGAGCTTCGCCAGCTCTGCTTGGATATCCACTTTCTCTTCCACTTTCTCTTTCTCTTTCGTCCCCTGTGGCTGTGCGGGTACTACGGGCTCCGCGGGCCTGTGGTGCGGATGGCTCATCTGGACGGTGGACCGGAAGATATCGGGACGCATGAGCGCGGCCATGGCGGAGCTCACGGCGCCGAAGTCGTGGCCAACGATGCCGTGCGCGGCCGTGTAGCCCAGCCCGTAGACCAGGCACACTAGGTCGCGCACCAGGTTCGTGAACACGAAGTCGTTCAGATCGACTTCGTCGAAGGGCTGATGGCGCGGCCACCCCCGCGTGCGGCCGTACCCGCGCTGGTCCATCGCTACGCAGAAGTAGCCCGCCGCGGCGACTGCGGGTAGCACTTTGCGCCACGAGTATGCTAGCTCCGGGAACCCGTGGCAGAAGAGCACGAGCGGGTTGCCGGGCTCGCCCGCCTTCAGCACGTGCCATGTGAGGCCGCATGAGGCGGAGCAGTCGATGTAGTCTGAGGTGATGCCCTTTGGAAGGGGTAGTTCTGGTAGTTCCTCGTTCGGCTGGGCTGAATCGTCGTCCATGTTGAATGTATTTGGTTGGCTTGTGCTATGTAATGCACGTTGAGAATCATGGAATGCATTTCGCATGGAGGATATTTGAAGTATAGGAGGTTACTCTTGGAGTATCGCCAAGCCCCGCAGATACCTAGGTACCTAGGTGACACGACGGGAATTCGTTGTAATTCATTGCGAAGTTACGTCAGCAACTTACATGTGATATTGTATGAACTTATCCCTTGCTGCTCGTAGTACATGTAGTGAGCGATGTTGGTTCGAGAAAGGTAGCTAAGTTGACATTCTATTAGCTGAAGCACATTTGTTTCGTAGTAGCCTTGGATCATACGAATGATAATGACGTAATGTTGCTATTTCAGACTGTTCGATAGTCTGCTATGAGTGCAAATCATCAAGTTACCTATGTAGGACAAAGATGAATGTATGAAAATCCAATACCTAAATATTAACCAAATCCTAGCTCTTCATAAAACATGAGTGTACAATAAGATGTCTTTAAAAAGTGGATATGCAAATGCCATGCATCACTTTGACATCTTGTGCCTAGAGATCGATACTCCATTCATCCCAACCCTTCTTCTCACCGGGGAGTCTCACGCTCTCCCACTCCTTCCTGGTGACATTTTTCCATTCTTCGACGGGGATCCAGCCAATGTAAGCTCTGTCGCCGAATCCGCCGATCCAGTAGATCTGAGTAACAACCAGCCTCACGAATTCGGATTCGTGGATATTGTTGCCGGGAAGCCAATACTTCGCATCGGGATGCGTGTCCACGAAGCAAGACGACAGAGCCTCGGTGGACGCCGGATCGATCTTCTCGATGTAGCCCAGTAGGCTGTATCGCGGGAGGTTGACCGCGCTGTAGGGCACTCTGTCTTTGGAGTCGTCCTCCTTGCGCCCGAATAGCCAATCAAAAAAGGTGGACTTGATACGCTTATCGGGTGGGTACGGGGGCGTCCAATGTTGGGCCAGGCTGATGTTCGAGCCTCCCTGGACGTTCTTGAACGTGGTCTCGATCTTGATGGCCAAAAAGGTAGGGTTTCCGTCCTCTTCGCAATCCGCTACGTACTCCAGAAGCCCGAGAGGCATGCCGCCGAGGCCATCTGGCTGACGGCCACGGGACGAGTCCGGGAAGACGGTGGCGAGTGTTCCGAGTGGAGTGAGAGCTAAGATGCGTCGGCCGAGCACTGCCGACTCATACGAAGTCGGGATTCGATACTCTGGGGCCGCAGACGGAGGGTTGCTGAAGATGTACTGCGGCTCCGGAGCTGGCTCTACGGCGTAAGTACGCGCGGCTAGGGAGATGAATGGCAAGCTGTGTAGGAACCGCATTGTAGGCGAAGTACCGCTCGAGCAGCTACCAAAGCTTAGTACCAGTGGAGCGCTGAGGCGTTAAAGTCTAAGAGTTCCAAAAGAGAGAAAAAGATAGAGTTCGAGGTTCAAAGGCTACAATTCAAGATGAAGGAACCCTTGCTTTAAAATAACATAATATTTGTTTGATGGCGTTTAGCGGTCTGGTATTGAAGCTCATTCAAACGAGACAAGTCCGGTCACCGGCCGATGTTAAACGATGCATCCCATGTGAATGATGTATCAGGTGGGACGATTGCACATAAGTTAGAGCGGGTCTATGTCTGGGGTATGCCTCAACGGGTTTAGTCATTTTGGAACCTTACAGTACATGTAATTACGTGTTTGCGTGTAAGTTCCTAAGTACATGACATGTACGGTAGGTATGTATTGTACTGTCAGAGCTGAACCATCGATTCAATCAGAGAAAGACCTGTTTGTAGGAACTCTTAGGGGGAAAATTATATTTATACAAGACATACATGTACATGCCGGAGTATATGGGAGCTTGCATAACTGGCCAAGGTTCTGGGACCGAACAAATCAGCCCCACTTAATATCTAACTATACCGAGAAATATCCGCAGACACTGCTTACGTCAACTTAACTCCCACTTAAGCCGCTGATTATCTAAGATATTCCATACTTGAAGCTCGCAGGCGGGGTATTCATCTAAACAAAAATCACATGACCAGGGTTTGCTTAGCCCTTTGAGGAAATTTTGACGAACTTTGGCCATTTCCGGTGTGACTCTTTCATCCTCCCACCTATCAAGTGCCAAGACTCGCGAATTCATCAGCAAAAAAAAGCCCACATCGATCGATTTCTTCAATCTCCCCAACTTCATCGACAACGACAAAGTCTACATCGCAACTTCGACAAGATGGGAAAAGTTCACGGATCTCTCGCCCGTGCTGGTATGTTCTTCTGGTCGAATGTCGCGAGATGGGAAAGTCGCTAATGAGATCCTACAGGCAAGGTCAAGTCTCAGACCCCTAAGGTTAGTTCTATCAGCATCATTCCGAAAGTTCCGTCTTCGTGATGAGAGAGGGCGCGCGTTCAATTTCGATCATCGAATCTTCGACTGCGATCGAGTTTCCGAACGTCCAGAAATACTCGCAATATATTGTGCGATGATTCGCCATTCGCTTTGTTGACGATTTCCTCACCGACCGGAATGTTCACCATCCGCTACGTTCTTCGTCATCCCGAACGCGCGCTTCTTTCATCGAATTCATACTCGTTTTGAGCTGGTTATCAAACATGTGGTTGGAGGGATACAGAAAGCTTACACCATTTATCAAAACAGGTTGAGAAGCAGGAGAAGCCCAAGACTCCTAAGGGCCGCGCCAAGAAGAGACTCACATACACCCGACGATTCGTCAACGTCACTCTGACCGGTGGCAAGAGAAAGGTACGCTTTGTTTCCGCCAATCTGGCCCCCAATCCGATACTGATATCTTTGATAGATGAACCCCAACCCCGGCTCATAAGCGCAACATAGCGCCCACCCCCTTGAGAGCAGCCAATGTTGTATTCGGGAGGACTTGGAAGGCGACGGACGAGGAGGCTTTTACCAACGCCTGGCTCTGAGCGTCCACCTCTACTACGTATGGCAGACAACGAAACCCTGCTTTATCATAATTGGAAATGAATGGGAAATGAAATGGTGGTCAGGGATGCATACGGATTCGCATCTTTCGTTCAGGAGTCATACGGCATCATCGTTCCGGCTTGGTCATTACTCGCAAGCCCATTGTCTGTACTTACGCAGGTATTGCCGGGAAAGGCGGAAATCAACAGAGGACAGTAATCTTCTCTGCAATACGTATGACAGCGGTGAAATCAAGGTAAAATCAAATTGCCTTCGGGGATATTACATGTTTCGTGAATAATCCCATCATTTCTTAGGTCTCCTCGTTACTCCGTAGCTTCCTGCGGCTTCAGTAACGGTTGTAAGAAACCATCTGCCCATCGCCCATATTCCCGCCTACGCAAACATTGGACGTAGACCATGACTGGATAACTTGATGGATTCCGAATATTGTAATTACCCGAGACTTGCCCAATCTCGACAGTGTAAGTTTCCAATTTTGTTACAGCGTAAAGCATGAAAATGTTAACGTTTTGCTGTCTCATGCGTACCTAGGTAGGCTTCAAAATGCTGACCTAGGGATATGTATTGAGACAGAACATGGAA